GCTGGAGGACTTGTCCTGGCAGCCGCTGGAGGACTTGTCCTGGCAGCCGCTGGAGGACTTGTCCTGGCAGCCGCTGGGGGGAGCTGCGCTGTCTGTGCTCTCCCGCCCTGCTGAATGAGACCGGCGCCGGAATATGACGTCATATTCCGGTGCCGGTCTCATTCAGCTGTGCGCTGGGGCGCAGAGCCAGCGCAGCTCCCCCCAGCAGCCGCCAGGACAAGTCCTCCAGCGGCCGACAGCAGACCCAGGTGTCTGCCCGGCCCCAGGTGCTGACGGCCCACCGGGAAATTTCCCGGTATCCCGGTGGGCCAGTCCGGCCCTGCCTATATCTTGCAAATAAAAGCTAAGAACATGTTAACATTAGGTATTTCTAAACTGAGGACAAAATTTAGAAACTATTTAGTATGGGTATTTTTTGGTGGTTGTAGATGCGTAACAGATTTTGGGGGTCAAAGTTGGAAAAAGTGTTTTTTTTATTTTATTATAACTTTTTACATTTTTTACAGCAAACTATGATATGATGAAAGTAATGGTATCTTTAGAAAGACCATTTAATGGTGATAAAATGGTATATAATATGTGTGGGTACAGTAAATGAGTAAGAGGAAAATTACAGCTAAACACAAACACAGCAGAAATTTAAAAACAGCCCTTGTCCTTAACAGTAAGAAAATTGAAAACGATCTGTTTACTAAAGTTGCTTTAGTGCTTGAAGTATCCCTATAATTATATACTCACCTCTTACTAATTGCCTTATTAACATTTATTATCCATATTAGACATTTGGTTGCATCCCAATTACAGTTTGGCAAATATGGGTCGTTTAGCGGATCGGCCAAATTCTGTACCTCCATAGTGCCATGTAGTTGTATAACCAAGCAAATAACTAAAACCATAGAAAATTAAGTTCAGTTGCTTTGGGATTTTTAGTTCCGTTACTGGTGCCAAAAAAGGGGGACTGAATGTAGAAGAACCTGATAATTTTATTTTAAGCAGCTTACTTTGCCATGTTGATAAGAGATCTGCCCAATAATGTGGGTTGCATCTCCTTTCCAATCAAGGGGTGGAAAAATTATAATTGGTGATTAGGGAACATCAACTAAAAGTTTATTAATGCACAGATCAAGTGATAAGTAACCAATATTGAGGGAAACAGATCAGCAAACCCTTGGTATGCCAGAGTAGGAATTGTTAAAACAAATTCAAAAAAATAAGTCCTGCGCTCAAACTCCCGTCACTCCTGGGCGGCAGCAATGACCATAGTACACATTAGCCCCAATACATACAGTAAAAACCAAATAAAAAAGTTACCTGCGCTCTTCTCAAATCTCTATGCATATTTAAACAAATGTAGCTTATTTAGTTTCTCCAATGGCCATGAGAGAGTTTAGCCCACGTGCCACGTCAAGGCAAACCTCTCAGGTGGGTCCTACACTAACATTTCACCTTGCTTCCTTGAGCTTCTGATAGTGTGATACTGGTGCTCAGGGCCAGCGCGTCCTATAAGAGACTTAGGCAGTCGCCTAGGGTGCACTGGCTCGGGGGGTGCAAGTTTTGAGTAACCTGGCAGAAGGGAAGCGCA